TCCCCACTAACCTTGGCCTTTTCAGGCGTGGGACTTGCGCGCGTGGTGTTCGATTCGATGGGTATCCGAGCTGGGTTGGACCTTTGCGTTTGGGGTCGGCGCGTGCGGTTTACAGGTCGGTCTCCGCTTTGGGTTGGACTTTTCGGTTTTGGGTCAGCGCGCGCGGCGTAGGGTTCATGAGTCGGTATCTGCAAACATGATGTCGACTGATGCTCCTTCCCGTGTCTCCAGCTCTGGCTTTGTAGTCTTTGATTCTATTTCTGTAGTCTCCTATTCGCTCTCCGACCCTGGTCTCCGATTCGACCGCAGCCCGTTTGGGGTCTGGTGGCTTGTTTGGGATTGTTTTGGCGAAGCTTTTCAAGAGCCCCGGGGCCCCGACTGAAGTTTTGATCTTGTTTGCTCAACCATAAGTTGGGTTGCTCATCTGGACTTGTAGAGACGAAGCCACAGCCTATAAGTTTCATGAGCAGGCGTCCCCGGCTGTGGCCGCAGAGAAAATGGCTAAAGGTGCCCCCGTAGGGGGCAATTTTCCGAAATGCGAGAATAAAGTAAAGCGCGAGAAAACTGCAATGAAACTCTGAGGAGAAACTTTGAGCTTAAGCTTGAATCTTTATACTTTTATTTGTTGTTCTCGTGCTGCTTTAGATTCCGAAAAGCCCAAGCAAACAGCTACGTGTTGAACATTTGGTAGAATCACTTGCAAGCAGCAGTGGTATGGAGAAAACGGGAGTACATGGCTTGCGCGCACACACTTGAGAAGGTTGCTCCGTGGAGCGCGATTTCAGGCTGCTTCGCGGTGTGCATTAGCACTTTAAGGGTAGTTACTGCATTAGCCGAATGCATTAGCACTTTACTGCAAAACAACGTATGAGACAGCGTTGAACTGACTTAGAAGCATCAATGAGTGAGAATTAAAATTGCAGGTGCAAGATACTGCGTCCAGTATCTCTTCCAACCGAACACCATAGCTTTGTTAGCACGGCTAGGTGAACGGCCGCCGTGCCCCCTGCTTCTGTACAATGGTCACGAAAGTCCTAGGAAAAGTTAGTAAGAGCTAGTGTAGTGTCCCTGGAAACAGGAGTGGACATACACAAAGAGCCGAATCGGCGCAACTAGACCGGATCAGAAAATACCTGAAGGGTAAATAATGGAAGACCAAGACGTCGAAAAAGGAATTGTACAGCAAGGTACTATGACTCTGCTGGCGCATCGTCTTTTTCTCGTGGCCGCAGCGCCGCGGCACAGTGTTCCTTTGAATGACCTTTTGGCATATAGAGCTGCGTCAACTGCTGTGCTGTGGTAGGTGCGAGCTGCTGTGGAAATGTGTATTTTCGTAGTGTGGTGTCGTGACTGTAAGCCTGTAAGCCTGAAAGGCGTAGTCTGTGACTCCCCGCTGACTGCGGAACACGAATCTGCCAGGGATGTGTGGGGAGTTGAAAGGTGACCGTTCTGATGAGTGGATCAATCAGGAAACCGAGTAAATGGTCGTCGTCCCCTGGCTCTATTTCGACTGGGTGCTCATAAAATCGGGATGGGCCAGTGTAGTGATGGGGGCGCTGATCTGTATTGTTCGTTTAGCAAGATAAAGCGGGTGTCAACGGAGCGTGTGTTGAGCAAGTGAAGGCTGGGTTGGTGGAAAAAGGTGTGGTATGTGGTTTGCCAGGTATGTACGATGAGTGTGATTGCTACGTTGCAGAGTGCTGGTGAAAGTTGACTGCCAACTTGGATTTGCTTGTAGTAAGTGTTGCAGGCTCGACATGATTGAAGGGCTTGTTGTACTATCAGGGGGATGTGTTGAGTGTCGAGTGTGCGTTGTTGTGGGTGGTGGATGTAGTGTCGACCGATGTGGGAGTGTTGGAAGGGAGTGCCGGTGGATTGTATGTCAAGACTGATGGAAAAGATCGCGTGGGTCTTGTCAATGTAGGGTGTGAAGTGGACAAAGTGTAAAAGTGCTGTGTGGAGTGTGGTCAAGAATTGTAAAGTGAGATGTGTTGGGTGATGCAGCGCTTGTTGAGCGAGTCAGGCGGCTAATGCCGAACCCGCTGCCACCAGCTGCTGTAGTGAACGTGGTGGTAGCTTAAGCGCACGGGTGAGCGGGATGCCATAGCGTGTGGCTGCCTCCTGGAGCTGTTCTTTGGTGATGCGTTCATCTCGAAGAATTTGCTGGATATTGGTGACTTGTGTCTGAGTGGCTGGTGGTAGTGTCTTGAGCCATTTTTTGAATGCCTGCTGCCGCGTAGTTGGCTGGTGAGTTGTCTTGTAGTGTTTGAGTGGTGGGGTTGAGAATGGTGTTAGCTGTGAGTGCGGCTGGGGCTGTAAGTGGGAGATGGGGTTGGGAAGCTGATGATGTGGCGGGGTGTGTCCCTGGTTTTGTTGGTGTAAGTGCAATGCCATGAGGCTTCAATTTGTCGCGAGCTCGCTGGAGTTCGCTCTCTTGCTGGTGTAGGCGATCTGTCTGTAGCTGAAGTTTTCGGAGTGCTGTACGTTCGCCTGTGGGTGGTGTGAGGCCTCGTAGGAAGTCAATCATGCGGGAAATGAGTGGTTGCGTAAACTGTTTGGCATCTGTCGTTTTGTTTGGAATGGATTGATTAGCTTGTTGGTGTAAATATTCAGCAATGTTGTCAATGTCCAGGTTGTGGGCTCGCATCTCTGGCAACAATTGTGAGGTGAACACTGCTTCTGCGATAGACCTGGTGGTCACGATGCCAGTGTACCGTCCTTGGGATAAAGTACGAAGGCTGTGGTCTTGTAGGCCAAAGCGACTGAGCTGCCAAGGAAAGATGTCCAAGACAGGCTGTCCTGCCAGATTGTATTTTCTGGACCATTGTGTCGGCTGGATCGTGCGGAATAATGTTTGACCATGTACTGTATTGGTGTCAAGGTGTGTGTCGCTGGGGGTCCATGTGTGTCTGGTTGCTTTTTCTTTTTCTTCGTCTTCTTCTTCTTTTTCTCTCTCCTGTTTCCTGCCAGGGGGGTGAAGGGGTGTTTGGGCGTGCATTGACTAAACGAGCCTGGATAATACCTAAAAAGCCTGAAGGAAGGAACAAACGAAAAGGCAAAGAAAAGAAAAACAAGAAAAGGTGCAGGGGGTGAAGGGTGGGGTAAATGCTCTCATGAGCAAAGTGAAGCCGAATCGGCGCAGTGAAAAATTAAAAGTTGGAAAAGACTTCTCCGGTGTGAAACTGATTCAGTTGAACTCTGCAGTATATTTCAGAGAAAAATTCAGTGAACTCTGCAGTAACATTTCACGTGTGCCAGGTGAGACATTCCAATCAAGCTGATTTCAAACAGGAAAATTCAGTCGAGTAAACTTCAGAAAATCTTCAGGAAGACTTACTCCTGCGGTGAGGAGTGAAAAGGTTCTTGCAGTAACGGCGCCCCGTAGGGATCACACAGCTTACCACAGTGGCAAGAAGCTGCGAAGACACACTTGAGAAGGTTGCTCCGTGGAGCGCGATTTCAGGCTGCTTCGCGGTGTGCATTAGCACTTTAAGGGTAGTTACTGCATTAGCCGAATGCGTTAGCACTTTACTGCAAAACAACGTATGAGACAGCGTTGAACTGACTTAGAAGCATCAATGAGTGAAAATTAAAATTGCAGGTACAAGATACTGCGTCCAGTATCTCTTCCAACCGAACACCATAGCTTTGTTAGCACGGCTAGGTGAACGGCCGCCGTGCCCCCTGCTTCTGTACAATGGTCACGAAAGTCCTAGGAAAAGTTAGTAAGAGCTAGTGTAGTGTCCTTGGAAACAGGAGTGGACACACACACACACACGCACACACACACATATATATATAGATAGATAGATAGATACACACACGCAAACATGCTACCTCCCAAAGATCTACCACTTGTTCCCTGCGTACGTCCCTTGCCTAACTCAAGTTTGTAGATGCATACATACGCTGCACGGTAACCCTAGAGATGTCTTGTATAAGAGTTTGTTGAACGTTGAGCGGCTTTTGTAAACGTGTGCAGCATGCCAGATTCTAGCGCCTACGCAGCAGTCTCCTGTGTAGGAAGACGAAAGCTGCGCGGCGAAGGCCCAGCGATTCCAGTACTCATACGCGCAGGCCAGATACGGGCGCGATGCAGAGAGCTCCACCTTGGTGAATTGGTTGAGATGCAGGCGACCCTTGATGAACTTCCAGGCAATGATCTGCATTCATGCCTTGACGCGGATCCTTCCCCACATGGAAGTTTGGGCTGAAAGCTCGACAATGTTGGGCGATTGCCGGATGAGTTTACCTCCAACTGTCACGCGCTTCTGCTGGTGGACCACACTGTCGTGTAGAACACCTGGCACTTTGGCCTTGTAAGAACGCGCATGGTCCGTGTGAAGGATCACCTTCCCATCCTTCAGCCACTTCTCGGCATTGGGTTTCCAATCTACCTGAACTTGTCCGCTTCCTCTTGCCCGACGTGACCTTGTCTTGTCTGTCAGAGCCAGGTGTCTCATGGTCCACTCGTCAGGGCCAGCAATGATTTGACGGTCTGGGAGCCGCGCCGCTGCCTCTCTTGGGGTCCTGTGGGAGCTCAGCGAGAACTGCGTCAGCTATGCTGCTCTATTAAGCGCAGCTTGTGTTTTTTCTTTGAAGCCTTGAGCCTTGAATCCTGGGATTCAAAAATCTTTTCCTGGATTCAAGAATGCATCGCGTTGCAATGGGGTTCTGTCACCAAATGCTCCCAAACATTTGTGTTGGTGCGGCGCAAGATTTGTGTGTATTACATGCATACTATACATAAAGTACCCCCTTGGACAAACAAAAATATTGGTTTTGAACTACAGTATTTTACGCACACACACACATCAAAAAGGGGTACCCCCAAAAACACAAAACATATATATATATAGATATGTCGCACCGGTTCGATACTTGCTTTCTGGTGCAGTGCTGACAATACTCAGGCTGAACGCTTTGTGTTCACTGTCCACTCTCTGATTTGCATCCAGATGCACTTGAAAACCATTGCTTGCCACGGATGTTCAACTCAGGATGACATAGAGGAAAAAGAAGCAGCCCCTACTCATCCTCGCCAAAAGATGCAGGCCGAAAACATGCGATGTGTTTGTACAACTTGCTATGATGAACCATTGCCGGGATGCTGTACCACCCAAGACTGCATAGCAGCTGCTGCTAAGATGAGATGCTATTTGATTTTGTGCATGTTTGTCAGTCTTTGAATGACAACACGTTGTTTGACTGCGCAAACTTGAGCGGTGGGTATTGAACATTCCTCACCTTACAAGTCCTGCCACAGGTTATGGAGATGCGTTTGGATGAGGTCACCAGAAGATGTGAGGCAGGGCCGGCGGGACTCAAACACTTCTTTCTTATACATATAGTCGTCAATATAGTGCTTCTTATTTTTTGTCAAGTCAATCGCAGGTCTTGATAAAGAATCGAGACCGGGAACTAAAAGACAAGACAGATATCGCCACTGCCTCATTGGTTGTGCTCCATGCTCCATGTAGTTTGTGCTTGGCTGTTTTGCCGCACTTAAAGGAGTGACAGAAACATCACGTATTTGTCACACTGAGATCTCCAAGCTACAAGAACGTGTCTTGCAGCAGTCCAAGGACTGATCCTGACAGCATTTGCAGTTTGTCACCAGACGTAAGCCAGGAAAACATAGCGCTTGATCGAAAATGGGACGAACGAGTGCAGCAAAAAGAAGAGGGGTACCACAGCAAGAGGGTATGCTTGCATTTCTTTGCAAAGCTGATGCACTTGATGTTCAAAGCTTGCAGTGATTGGAACAAATGGTGAGGTACGGCATAGTTGTGGCCCAACTGAAGCATGCAGAGGGTCAGATTCTTGTCCAGCTCTGAGGTTCAGCATGTAAGGCCCCGACCTCCAAAGGAGCTGTTTGGATCCACTGTTCAGGAAGAGCGCGAGAAGACAGCAGCTGCCAAGAGGGAAATCCAGAAACGTGAACAGAGGACACCTTGATTCCTTGAGAATGGCAGAGATATTTTGGGTCAAAAGCTCCGCAGGACATTGCTGAAAACGTGTCAACACTTGAACCTTTTTTGCGCTGAACTGCTGAAAACATACACACATGAAGGATTGTGGAGCTTCGGCAGGAGCATTCTGAGGACCTTGCAAGCGCAGTCAAGACAGTCAAGCGTTTAACCATTTCAAATTGCACAATTGCGCCTTTCGATTGAGGAGTTGAGATGCAGACTGAGGGACCGAAATCTGCTTTTCAAACGACTTCGCGAGCTTGAGGCAGATGGGACTTCTAACACCTTCTTAGTTTGCCATTTTCTTCCATGCTCCTTGCTAGGCGGAGCTGGCTCTCAAAGCCAACAGAGAAGATGACGTTCGAAGAGAATGGGAGGCTTATCAATTTTGACCAGCTATGAAGGCTATGATGTTTGGGATTTCCTATGCAGATCAGGCTATGTATGATGAGCTGAGGCCACTTTGGCTTTTCATTCATTCCCAGAGACAAGTGAATTCGCAATTCTGTCATGTTGCTGTACAGATTTTTTGTAGGACTCGCTGTGAGTGGCGCGTGGGAGCCTGAGTCCATGAAAAACAGCGCCAGAGCCTAGAAGTCTGCCTGTCAGAGTCTATCAGCACTTGCCGCCAAGAAGTTGCACCCCCAACTCATCCATTAGTCAAAGGCACTTTTTGAAGACAGTAGCTGGTCTTGCCACTTAAAGTATGGCGGCCAGATTTTTAGGCAGGTCACCACTCACCACGTTTGCATGAAAGCCATCCTTGGCAGGCTTATTGTGTGGCTGCACTAGATACAAGAGTTACTGTAAGTGACAGAGATTCACTTGCAGAAGGTTGACTTAAGCAGGTTGGCTTATGCTGAGTGTTTACTTGCACTGCGGAATTTGCACGGCACACAAACTTGGGCTGTAACTCAACCTGGGAAACCTGGCCCGGGACACTTGCATGAACCCAAGATAGACCGAACATGGGTCAATCATTTGCTCCAAGATTAATCTTGTTGTGCAATAACATGAAATGTTGGAGTGACAAGTTCAGAGTGTGGATGTGGTGCCCTTGTGCCATTTTGGCTCAAGCATTCAGCGCACCACAGGTGGGATGGTTTCTGAAGTGGTGATCTGGGAAGAGCGCCGGACTCCGGGAGACAGTTCAGTACTGTCCTTCCTGGTGATTCTGGTAGCCTCCTGGATCATCGCTGTGGTGGTGGGGGTTCTGCTCGGCTGGTTCTGCTGCCGCAAGGCAATCAAGCAGCCCCGTGCAGACTTCACCCCAGAGACCGTCCGTGCCTGGGAGCGCCTCGCCCTCGAAGCCATCCGCTTCGTTTCCAAGAGGCGGCGAGTGGGCTTAGCGTTCAGCAACTACCGCGACTACAGCCTGCGGAGCGTGCAGGGCTCAAGGCCAACTACAGAGCGCCAGCTGCGCAGGAGGGCATCTACACCACCACCGGTGCTACACGAAGGACCGGCCATTACCAATGGTCGATCCGACCAAGGACGAGCTCAGAGGGATCAACGGACTGGATGACGCCCGCGCATGGGCCGGAGTGGAGGGCCGACTCTCCAGAGCACTCAACGCCGCCCTGGGCGATCCAGCAAGGGTCCGCGAAGTTGCACTCATCCCTAGACCGATTTGGGATGACGCCGTGCAGAACTTGGAGCTCCAGGAAGAAGGTGACCCGGCACCACCTCCTAGAGGCCTGACGCCCGTCGAGCAAGCCAGGGTGGAATGTCTGCGCAGGGTATGCTGCGTCAGAGCCGGTCGCCCCAGTGGACCACCCCGGAGACGCAGCCAGACCGGCAGCGCCTGCTGCACTACCAGCTCCTTTCCCCCCAGCAGAAGGAGGAGCATGCTGCGGGGGCCCCGGCACCTCAAGCGAGAAAGCTGAAACTCAGTGCAGTGTTAGACCCCACACTCGACGCGGAGATCCAGGCCTTGACCGATGCCGAGATCACCGACATGTACGAGAGGTATAGGCAGCGCTACGGTGATTTTCCTTCGACTGACGCAGACGTCAGCCGGGATCAACTGGCCGCCCTGAACCAGGTCATCGCCTCGGGATCCGTCCCCTTCGCTGACTTCAGCATCTTTGGCCCTCACGGTCAGAGGCTGTTACGTCGGCAGACGTTCCAGAGCTACACTCTCAACGTCTCTACAGGCGAATGGGGGCGAAAGGAACAACCAGGGCCATCCAGCTTCTACGACTGGTACAAAGCCTGGAGGTGCTACGGAACAGCAATGCTCCTCCTCGAGGCCTCTGAGGCTGAGAGGTTAGATGCCTACGCTGAGCACATCCGGGGCTACGTCACCCAGTTCGGCGAGGAAGCTTGGCCTTTCGTGTGCAAGGCCGACAGCAGGATGAGGTCGGAGCAGCTCGAGAGGATACGCCGTGAACTGCACGCCCACCCAGCATTGGGCTATACAGCGGCCACACCTTGGAGCGCTTGCTACGCGGCCGCCATCAAAGATACGGAGTTCTGGAACAAGGAGCTCATCACCCCGACCACGCTCTACTTGGCAAGGAGCAAACCCAAGAGACGAAAGGACCGATCCAACAGGACGTACAAGGGCGACAACCACTCCAAGAAAGACAAGGCAGGGTTGTACGCCCACAACCGGCGGGGAGTGGAGATCTGTCGACTGTACAACAACGGCAAGTGTGGTACCAAGCAAGCTCAAGGCAAAAGCAAAGCCAAAAGGAGCCACCAGTGCAATCGCTGCCTAGGTCCGCATCAGGGCATGTCTTGCCCAGGCGGTAGTTAGTAGCCAAGACTGAAAGCCAAAAGGGTCGGGCTCAGGTGGGCAAGCCCGATCCTCAACTGCTGACCAAGACCCACCAGCTGGAGCAAGCAAGAGACAGGCTCCGAGATCGCCAGAGGCACCGCCGACGAAGAGGCAGCGCCAAGAGGCCCAGGCCGGATGGAAATACGCCGGCCGATGACGAAGAGGAGGAAGAGTCAGTGCCAGATGAAGAAGAACAAAAGAAAGAAGAGGCGCAAAGTTCCGACAAGGCGAAACAACCTGATGCACCTCGCTCCACTCCGACCGTTCCGCACGCAAGGGGGAGCGTTGGTTCCGGGTTGAAACCTGTCGTGGAACTCAAAGAACCTCCATCCAAGTACGGCGCCTGGTACAGCACCATCGGGCAGACTTCAACAAAGCCACGAGTCCTCATCGTCTTCTCCGGACGACCACGCGAAGGAGACCTAGCGCACCAGCTGGCGAGGCTGGGTTGGCTGGTGTGCTGCCTCGACACGGCCATGCCAAGGCCCACTGATTTGCTAGACAACAACGTGTGGGACATCGTCAAGAAGGACATCCATAAAAACCCTGACCATCCAAAGGGCAAACCATCAATATGGCTGATGCCCAGAATCCAGGACATTCTCTGTTGGAATGGAGTGGACGAAACCTTGTTCGACCAGTGTGTGACCGGCCTTGAAACCACGAAGCCGACCAAGCTCCTCACACACAACATGGATCTATCCAGGTTGCAGGGGAAAAGGTGCGACCATCCGAAACGCACGTACACCAAGCCTGTTCCAAGCCTCACACCTCCCTATACAGTACAGAGAACCAAAACTGTGGAGGGCAAGACGCAATGGGCCTCCAAGTCACAAGGGGAGTGCACCACCCTGTTCTGCAAGATCCTGGCAGTGGCGTTCCACAAGACCATCAAGGCCACGTGGATTCGGGAAGAGCTACAGAGGGAATCCCTCTGAAATGCACCAGTGGTCACAGACTCCGCCTCCCTGCAAGGGCCAACCGATGCAGAACCAGTTGGCCATTGGCGGCATGAGGAACCCGCACCTCGCGCTTCAAAGACTGACCAGACTGGGGACTACTTTCTCCTGGTCGTCTAGCTCTAAAGTCGCTCGCGACCCAACCTATGGTCTTTCCGCCTTCTGCCTTGGGCAGTTTGATTGGAAAGCCGACTATTGCAAACCACAACAACAGGACGGTGAGGTCCCAGCTTGCCTTCTCCAGTGTTCCCGAGAGAACGAAGGCAGGGTCGTCGACATAGATTTGCACTCCTGCCCGCGGCATGACGGCCGTTGCTGATCTTCCCAGCCAGGCAGCGTAGCGCCCCCATATGGTTGGTGAGCTTCCAGCTCCAAAGACCAGGGTGTCGAAGACCACTATCTCCATCTTCCCTGGCTGTTGGCCGAGGGGATGTTCATGAAGGCGTCCTAGGGTTCATTGCCCTGTCGATATTGTCGGACTGCTTGTTGGGCCAGGTCCAACAGTCTTGGCAACAGGATGCGTTCCCCTTGGCAGCATATGGAGTTGGCTCGCGATTCCCGGAGGTCCCATATCAGCCGGCACTTCTTGGTGCCTTGTGGGTTCACCTTCACGATGAGGCCTAACTTGTTCAGCGCGGGCGGTTCTCCAAGCTCTGCTGTGGCTTCTTCCATGGAGCTGACGGTGTGGCAGAAACCCCTTGCGGTGTAGTCGGCAACCAGCGTGTCCACTTCTTGCGCTTCTTGTTCGGCTGAGGCGTAGTTCTGCCAAGCGGTGCAGGTCCTGCTGTAGTTGCGCCGTGCTGGTTTTTGACTCCACTTTTGGAAACACTCCAACGCTCGGGATGCTTTGGGCGTAACCCAACGGTGCTCCGTTGTCCAACCAGTTGCACAAGTGCTGGGTGTCCGGATCGCCCGAATGCGCGCCCCACGCTTGGATGACGTTGGCGTCAATTGGAGTGGTGGCTCTGGCCGTCCTGACCCTTGGCCCGGTGGGCCCCCCAACGCTGCTAGTACCTGCGTCCTCAACCCGGCCGCCAGGAGACCACTCAACTCCTTTTGAAAAGACCAGTCGCGGGGCAGTGCGAGCTGCGTGTGTATGTGGGCACGTTGTCTTTCGTAGCTGGCCTGGTCCCACACCTACGACCCTTTCTGGCGTCGCTGTGAGCGGTCCTAGGTGGGACGTCAGAGCGGGCAAAGCCCAGCATTCCGGAAAGCTGGTCCACATGCGAAGGATCCACCCAGCACTCAGATCGATTGAGGCACTGGTGAAAGGGAACCAACGCCACTGCGCAGGACCTCAGAAAGCCGCCACGAGCCGAGGTCGTAACCGACGCGAGCCCGTGGGGAATCGGTGGAGCGCTGAAGATTGAAGGGCGCAACACCAAATATTTCTCGAGTGCTATCCCTGACGCAAGTGGGACTCTCGAAGTACAACAGGGGGGGACTGGCACTGCTCGTAGCATTTCGTCTCTGGCTGCCAGAGCTCGGCCGATGCGCCGCAGTGAGGGCAAAGTCAGACAACCCAGGAGTGCCGCGGATTGGCAAAGGGCGGAGCCAAGTCGAAGGAGCTCAATGCTCTAGCCAGAGAATTCGCCCTCGACCATGCACTTAGGACGTACCGGCTACACTGGCTCGAGCACATATCTGGGGCAACGAATTTAGAGGCCGACGCTCTGTCCCGACAGACGGCGCCCGTACCCCCAGAGTTTCCAGAATCGTTGCAGGGGGCAGAACGCTCCATAGTGATCGTCCTCCGCAGCTTCTGGAGAGTAGAGCTGGACTGAGACCTCACGGTTGTCCGAAAGTGAAACAA